ACCAGTATCCTATCCCTTTCCAACAACAGACATCCCCAATCCTTCAACAAGACAGTCACAGCTTTGTTGTATGTGTAGTTAGCAAAGTATATAATGTTTTGAATATGTGGGCTCTGAAAACCCAGCATTCAACTATAAAACCTAATTTGGGGTATTTTCTGCATGTGGCACCATGGAGGCGGTGGAACTAAACAAGTACCACTAACTACATACACAGTGTATCACAATGTCTGTTTCATAAACGAGTGAACTAAAATTTTCCAGAAGCAGAATACAGGATTCTGTTCGGGATGGACAACATCTCTAATTCACTGCACGTGGAAGGCCACTGGAAGATTTGATATGGAAATGTCATGCATTTGATACCATGTTTACTCCAGGGGGTTTGGAGCCTAGGGGGTAAATCAGTCCCATTAGTCAGTTCCGTTAGCGTCATCATGTCATTCAGTGCTAAGACTCTGTCTGAAGAGGGTGCAATCAATGAGTTGGATGAGGCAACGATATTTAATCACTGATGAGAAACGCTCACATGCATGTACAGCTCCCACAATGGACTGCTAGTGAACAGAAGTAACATTCTGGTGGAAACCCACGTAGATTCCGATAAGCACCATAATTTACTCAGCCAAATAATATCTCTTGTATGAGGAAGGCAAATTTTCACAAAAGTGATTGACAACCCCACTAAACTTCAGTGTACAGTACATGTACATGTACATACTTGCACCTTTGTGCCAGTCACTCTTCACTGCTGTTACACACACATACATCAATGCCAATACTAGGGAAGCTGCAACTTCCTCAACTTCCTGAATTTCTGAACCCTAGAATCTCCATGTGATTAAAAATGGGGATTGTTGCTGTCCTCAAGGCTTCAGAGGGAAGTTAAACCAAGAATGAGCAATACTACAATTGCGAACACTCATAAATCAGCAGTGAAATATTTTTACCAGTTTACTTTAACCATACACTTTAACACTTCGATCACAATCAATAACTTACATGTACATCAAAGCAGGTCACCCCACTTGAAGAAATGCCTGGCCGGGAGGCAAGCCACAACATTCTTCTGTTGACCATCAGATACTTCTTATGATCAAATTCATAAAATTGAACTTGATTGAAGGTTTGGTACAAAGTGTGTATTGTGTAAAATAAATGGAACAGTTGAGCATGGAAGGGCCACTAAACAGAGAGTGGTCCAATTGTGTGTGTGATGCAACAAACTCTCAGCTGGAAGTTTGCAACTAGATAAAAATCTCCCAAAAAGCTCCACAGGGAATCACAATACAATCTATTTAGAACAGGACATGTTGTAAGTCTTTTGTTGAGTTGCAACTCATTAATAAATTGCGACAACAGTAAACCATCGAACAAACTTACACACATGCTGGCTTTTACAATTTCATGAGAATGCATTGATAGTTTCATTAAAAAACTATAAATGTGAAAAACTTGGTGGTTAAAATGTCAAATTGGGATGCATAAAAAAGCAAACTGAAAAAGAAGGTTGTATGCACATTTTGTTTGAATTAAAGCATGGAGGAATGATCAAAGTGAGTATATTGAGAATTATCATTAAGACATGAAGACAGTAAGACAGTAATAAACTGGACTGAATTCAAGCAGCACAGATGCCATTTCCACTCTTCTATTTGATGTAGCGTGCATACATATTTGATGATGGCACTCTCATTAACTAGTGGCATAGATGTACATGTACTATAGGCTAGAAACTACTCAATGGAAAATACCAAGCTACATATGTGACCCACTCTGTGAAAATGAGTCATAAGTCGCCAGAGCCACTTTTTGAGTTTCATTTGTATTGGAAAGAGCAAATTGAGGTTTTTGTTTTGAAGTACATGTATTACTCAGTTTGGCATCCTGATGAAAGTGGATACTCCATGGTGAAAAATGCTGTGAGGTCCTATTGCTTTACACTGTGCGAAATTATTCTAAAGGACTTTTTACTCCAAGGTGACTTTGGAGACTTAAGACTCATTTTCACAGAGTGGGTCACATATAGGGTAAGCAAGCACTCCTACACCTTATGGCGCCACAGACCTCCAGAAAGCCATGCCTAATTAAATGATTCATCAGTCCATACGTGCCATTTGAAGGGTACACATAGGTCCAGAACAGGAACAAAAATGTCCATGTATATATTCACTGTGTCTATGATAAGCTATATGTGTATGTGAATTCAGACTTTATGCTGGTAAACTGTAAAGATGGAAAAGGAGGTTCATGGGGGATAGAGGGGGCATGAGAGAGGTGTAGGTAAAGAGGGAGGGAATGGTAAAATGACATCTGTAGTTTTATGGGACAAATGCAACACTGTTCCCCTCATTAATAAATTGCGACAATTTTTTAATTTTTATAAATTTTCATAAATTTTTACTTAATCTTTATACGCTTTCATACCTCTTTTCTCGTAATTTTACAGGCAATTTTAAAGGTTTTTCCCTAATCTTAAACGTTTTACATTGTGTAAGTAGATAGAACAACCTCCTGCAGTTTTAATGCGATGAATGATTTATGTTTACATTTTTTATTCATATAATATTAAATGTGTCCACTGCAATTCAGCCTAGTGCCACGAGATTTGAATGTTTTAAATAAACCATTATGAGTGAATGAAAACACAATTATGGCTGAACCTTGCATGTCACTGAGTAAGTTAATCTTCTAAACTTGTTAAATATTTTCATCTTTAAACTTTCAACTCATTGCCATGTCTAGGTGTATGCACCCCTGGATCAAAGCCCTTTTCATTTATAATAAACATGTTCCTTGCTTGTACAACAAAGCCACATTATGAACACACATGTACTGGTCAGTACATGTACCTGGCACATCCAGGTACATGTACAGAACCTTTAATGAATGCAGCTTCTGCATTAAAAATTCCTTTTAACCAAGATTACGCTAACTGTACATGTAGTTTAGTGAGTAAGATGAAATCACATGTACTAAACATGAAGGCCAGATGGTGCTAGTAAATATTCACGCCAGCAGAACATCCAATTAATTATACAGAATCATGGATGTACCTGCCCTGTACTGGTTTTCACCAGTTACACTGCAGCTACATGTACCTACATGTAGCAATCAAGATAGCACACAATTCAGGTCTTGGCAATCCTATAATTGTACTTTTTTGAAGATTATAACTACACATAAACAGTGCAAATTTACTGAAAAAATGGCCTCCTGAAAGGTTTCTGATATAAAAGAATTGGGAAAAAAATTCCACACCTAGATTCTGGCCTTGTCTCCCTTTGAGTCTGGTTCCGGTTTGGTAACCATGTGTGAATGGGTATGACACAGCATTCTAGCTACTATGAGAGAAGGTAAAGTGCCTTGGAAACATATTGTGTGGAGTATAATGCACAGGTACTATAGGCAGTTTCTACAGGCAGTTTTTGAAGCAGATGAATAATGCATGAATGCATTTTGACCAGCACTCTAGTCTCTATGACTTAACCAAGGCGATGGCAATTTTTTAAATAATTTTCTAGCCTCCACAGTTTCACGTATTTCTTTTCATACTTTGCTAATGCTGGTTGGACATACAGAACTCACTGGTCAGGAACGCAATACAAACATATACCAGCAGCATCAAACTTGTCAGAAAAAGAAAAATTGTGATGGAAGAAGAATGGTGAAAGATGAGAAACTTGAATAACTTTACATCATAACATTCACTGCTGTAAAACTACAGTACTGTACATTAAATTAACCATGATTCATCCAACTTCACTTGCGTACCGGGTAATTACACTGGGTAATAAAATTCTCATTTGATTTCACGCTGAATGCACAGTGTGGAGAAGAATGAAAATTGATTTCTTAAGGCTAAGTACTACAGTGATTGGAGTTGGCATTTGGCCAGGTCTTATCACGAACAAAACAAACTCTTCCCACATTCTTTAGAGAATGCTAAAAATCAAGTAGTTTGCAAATATCGGTCCTGTACATGAAAGGCTGGTCACCAGCTGGTGTAAGTGTTTGTCAGTAACAACTCCTCAACAGGGACTGAGTGGACAAACTTTAGTCTAGATCATCTGGAAAAAACTGGGCCAACCAAAATTAGTTTGGATCCACAAAGTACATGTAACAGGAACCACTTTGAATATTGTAGATGGTACTACATGCATGCATACATGTAATTGCTTATTTTCTGAGAAAAATCTAATGAAATTTTCAAATGGTCATCCAAACTGGCTAAAACTGGTCATATGCAGGTAATGTCAGCTTTGGTTTTTGGGATAGTCATTCAAGTACTGGTACCTGTAGCTCAATAATTGACACAAGTACATGTTGGAAAATGTTTCTATTAATTTACCCTTTTGGAAAGAAAATTGGCCCAGATAATAAGAATTTCATTCACTTGTTACGTCTTGAAAAGGCAAAGCTGCAATTTGTGTCTACTTGGCAAAGAGCAAAAATAATTATCCAAATAAAAGGAAGAAGAACTATTGACTGCATTGTAACCAAACAACAGCTCTAGAAATGCTCCCATATATGACATACCAAAACTTGGGAATATATCTGTGACCATATAGTCACCACATCCCTAATTTTGCAAATATTCTAAAATCAAGTTGGATTGGTTTGTTAAGTGGCAAAATAAGGGACCTGGCAACTATACGGTAACAGACATTGTGATGTCATAAAAAGGAAGTGCCAGGGCATTTCCTTTGGTTTCATTTTAAAGGAAAGTTCATGTGTTACGCACCTAATTTAAGTGTTCTAACTTGCCTTGAAAACTTCAATAAAAGACACTGAGCATGCTGAGAAAGGGAGAAATGCCATATCTCATGTATCGTCCTACTCTTCTTATATACTACACGGCTAGGACCCGACGTACACACAAACACATGCACTACAACACCTACAAAGCCGAATGAACGTGAACTGCGCGAAATAGCGAGAAATCCACCCGGAACAAGTGCAAAATCTAGCATTATGATTATGCAACTGCGTGCACATACCTGCTGCATCGGCGATGATGCCTCCAACAATTGCACCGACAGCACGGCTTGAAAAAGAACTCATTTTGCAAAATTCTTTTTTTTTTATATATATGACCTGAAAGGGAGTGCAATATACCGCTTATAATAAACCTCAAAATGTCTGCATGCAGGGAACTTAAGTTGTAACTTTGACCACAGACTGCCAAATGTTGAGTTCGTGATGATGCGAATGAAATAAATCAGTGCTAGGCCTAAAAAAAGTTGGCCTCCTGAGGGCGTCATTTGACAGCTACAGACTCGACTAGACACGTCCGGACGTCTAGGGGGTGTGTGCACAGTGCAGCACCGCTGGTCAGCAGGAATCGCGTCATCTGTTTAAGAAATCGCTAGGGATTTGGCGATCTTTTAGTGAGTTCATGTATCGACTGTCAACCATATTGTTCTTTAATAGGGTAAGTTATCTCCTTGTTTAATCACTTCATTCTGTTGAGCTTTTTGTTCAGTCAGTACTGATTCGACGTCGTGTCGTCGACGCGTCATGGTCGTTGATCTGTGCGGATCTGTGATCTTATTGCATAATTTGCAGATAATTCTGTCGTCCGTCAATTGGCTGTTTTAATTCACAGCTTCGAAAAATTCTTTACGAAAGGGAAGTACGGTCAAAGAGTTTGTTTTCAGAGGAAACAAAATAGTGTCATTTTGTAATAATGTTCCATGTTACCTGTAACTGATTCAATTTTTTCCAGTGTTCTCCTTAAAGATGCCATACGCCGAGAGAATGAGATGGGAAAAATTGCACTGCATCACCTTATGCATATTAATCTGGCAAGGAATGACCACTTTTGTTTCCCCCTAACTTTTGTACCCCAAACTGAAATGCAGCAACAACTTTGACATTCATCTTATCACTTAAATTGGTGTGTCGCGAAGGAATAATAAATATGTGGGTATCGCAAATTTCATTTTCTAGGGGGACTCACTTTTTCATTGATTTCTGAAACAATTGTTAAAAATGTCTTCTTTCTGACTTATAATTCTCCAATAATTTTTAGAATTCAGAATCTAATGAGAATCTCTTTAAACCTTAACTATTTTTATTCAAAATTAATGTTAGAAATACTGAACATCCCTTGCAGATTCTATAAGAAAAGCAAGAAAAATTGTGACAATAATGCCGATGTAATTATTCGCTATTAGTTGCCCCGGAGAGTAAAAGTACGATTGATACAAGCCTATTGTGATGGAGATTGGGGGCACGCTTTACGCATGCAAAAAGCTTTTCAGCGTAGAAGCCCTTATTTTGACTCCAAAAAAAGGGCACTTTTGCAGTTAAAATATGTCTTTAGACACCTTTGACCATTTCAGAATGGACGTATGGGAACCTAGCAACGGATATCCAAGGGCAGGGTGGCGTTAGAAATAACAGTTTAAGAGATAGACGGAAGGGACTGGCTGACACGGTGAAGGAAAATTTAAAAATTCCGGACAAATTACATCTTTTATTAACATTATCAAAGCTTACAAAAACTTACAAAATTTTTCACTGTGTTTTAATATAGAACTAATCCTCAGGCCATAAGTTATTGATTACTCAGACGAATGTTGCCGACTGGGAACTCACTGGCAATGCAAAATTCACAATTTCTGATACTGCTATAATAGAGCCTAAAAGTAAAAGGTCACTCAGTGGGCTTCCGGAACCTTCGCGCGGTCTGCCTATGGGGATTTTATATTGGGCCGTCTGATCACGTTCAGTAATTTTTGGAAAAATAATTCCTTTCTGAAACCACCCCATGAAACACTCATGTTGGAATTTTACCTTTGTCTTCCTCAAGTAATATTTTGGAAAAGTCACTTCCAGTAATATCATACCTAGGTCTCTGTGTTCATGCATGTTTTTTTTCACTTGCCATGCTTTCTTGCAAACGAGATTGTACGACTTTGCAAAGATTTACCTACCTGCAGTCAATGGGTTCCAGATTCCGTTGAGTTGACATCACGCAGTTGTTGTCAGCAAAGGTTAGATAAAATATTAAAAGAAGAATATTGCCTTATGTTTATTACCTTATAAATTATCAAACATGCAAAATATTTTGATATATTTTTATTTCGGTTTTTACCAACAGACTACCACAAAATTTCAAACCGTAAATAATCATCTGCATATGAGACTGCCGTATTGTACTGTTCTTCGTGTATTTTAGACTTTCGGAAGTGATGGGTCAATTTTTGGCAAGATATTTCTCTTTTAGGTCAGATAATTTTTTAGTTTCTATAAATTGATATACTTACATGTACAAATAGTTTTCAAAGCCCTTTTTCCAAGTTGGATTTTTTTAAAGAAGAAAGTAAACAAACAACATTACAAATTCTGAAATCTTTGCACGTTATTTTTCCTATCCAAGGGTTCCGGAAGCACGCCATCAGGGGTCAACTTTCAGGCTCTATAGAGTTACTGTAATAGGAACTGAGCATACATTTTACAGTATGTCGTACATGTATACTGATGTATATGTTTGTTACAGAATCACATTTTGCAGACTCAGGAGCACTCTTATTCCCATTGCTGGGTCTTTTCAAATATGAATTTACGAAACTGACTAAGATGTATGACATTGTCTCTAATGGAAAATTTCATTAATGAGTTCAGTCTACGGATATATTGGTTTCTTCAGAGCAGATTTGTAAGTTATATTCATACATACACATCTCTAATTTCAGTTAGTGTTATGCATATGAAGAATGCCTAGTAAAATTGACAAAGCACATGGCAAATAATCAACAGCTGCGTACATCCAAGTGCATTGTTAATGCAATGTATATGTACAAATAAGTTAAACTGTTTTATGTGCAACAGGTAAAATCAAGGACTGGAATGGCCTATCAGTGCAGAAATAATGCACACCTTTTAAATTGGAGTATCAGGAGAATATGCACGCCCGAGTCCTGATTATCCTGGCCATTACTGCACTGGTAATACGGCTTGCATGTTAGCTGTACGTGCAACCAGACACAGCATGACTGTATTTAGCCCTGTAGATTACATCCATGTACCAAGCAAGGAGCAGGTCTCCTATTTGCCTTACCATTGTGTGTGTGATTGCTCCCTTGGCTCGTTGGGCATACCACTCATTTCCTGCCTTCCAAGTTCCATTGATCAACGTCTCATGGGAGGTTTGCACAGCAGAACCTGTAACTAACTTTCCCTGCATCACATTAATGTGACTTGTGGCTTGGGCAATCAGGAATGGTTAATTATTTAAGTGTACACAGATACATGCATCACTGTAAATTGAATGTACATGTACATGTAGTCCCATAATGTTCCATGTGTATGTCTTGATATGGAAAGGGCATACGTGGGCTTTTGATTTTTTTATTCCATCAATCTCATTTGTATCCTGAATTTTATCCTATCTGTCCACTGTCTTTCAGCATATTCCATGCTATCAAAATATGCATTTATTAGATCTTTCTCAATATTGTACATGCATGTATGTAACTGACTCACTCCCATAGGATGTCCAAGGAGTAATTCATTTTTCAATTCAGATACCATGTATGTAAAAGTACATGTAAAATCAAAAAAGGAAAAATCAAGGTCAAGTAAGTTCAGCTTGAGCAAATTGAGGTGAGAAATGGTCATTCGCGTGGAATTGTGAAGACTTTTTTCCCCCTGTAAGAGCTAATTAGTCAAATATTTACTCTTTGATTCGCAATTTGTCAACAGCTGTATGTACAGGGTAGTCATACAAATCGTTTGTGTGTGCATTCATATAAGGAACCCTTGACATTGCAGTGACCTACTACATGCAGTACAAATGTAGAACTGCGGTGAGAGTCTATACTGGTACACTGTACATGTACAGTACATGGATAAACTGTAGTCCATTGTACATTGTAACTCAGTTTTTTATTTCACAGATTTGAATGAGCTGGGTAACTCCAGGACACTTTGCAACTCAATTATTTCTCAAGCCACCTGCTTAGACCCACAATTTGTCATACCTTGAAGGACTATATTTAACCATTTTGAGGAAACGATTTTGAAAGTGTTGAAAGCATGGATTGCCCAGGGCTTGGAAGTATCTCATTACAGAGAGTAACTTCAAACCTGGAACCTGAACGGGTGTTGACTCTCTTGCCTTGGGGGCAGTGTGGGAATCATGGGGGAGGCACAAGAAGGGAATCAATCTCTTCTTAATTTGGCCCCAAAATTGGGGCAGAGTAGTAGATTTGACTTGGAGTTGGTCAATGGTTTGTTTATTTTTGCAACTGCCACTGTGCAGAGCACATAAGCACATTATTGGTACATGTACCCTCGTACATGCAATATACAGTATTGTATCCCTGAGTGCAGATTTTGATTTCCTCACATCAAAAACATTGTTGTATTTTCTTACCTCCGTAGTTAATGGCTAACTGACTCTCCAATGTCAAAACCTGGACAAAAAAATTTAACACCAGTATGCCTTTCTCAGTGCCAGGCTGGTAAATTCCAGCAAAAAGGGTATGACAAAATCTGACTGTCTATGGACTAGTCAACAAATCTAGAGGCAGAGCTAGGTGCTTCATGCTCCATTAAAATTTGAACAAGTAAGGAATCTTGGTGTTTGTGGTTTCTGTTCCACATTTGTTGTGAATCACTGAAATTATCCTTTCTGGAGATGAAGCTCAAAATGACATTGAATTTTCAGCTTCCTTCTCTAATATTATTTCTGGGGAAAGGTTTACAGTGTACATATGGTGAATGTACATGTTATGGAAGATTGGCAGCACAGCTTGCAGGGGGTCATATTCAGTTATACATTGCAATTTGAAAGACTTGAAAGTGATTGGTGAGGGTACATATGAGAGTTTGCAACATACATGTACAAGTTTACAGGGACAGCAGTGGTATAGCTAGGATATTACTAGAGAGGGGGGTGCAAGGGGACACCGGCATCTTATGGGGGGGCACCAGCTTTCAGTGGTATGGTTTTCTGGGGGCATGGTGTTGTTAGCCTTGTACAATATCCATTCATCCGTTTTTTTTTAGTGGGGTGGGGCACTTGGGGGCACTGGGATTTTGTGGGAGGCACAGCCCTCCCCCATGGCTATCCCCTGCCAGTGAGGGACAGTATGTACATGTATCTCCCTCCTGCCATGCCCCCTTCCTCATTGGAAGATACGGTAGCACTTGCCCTAGAGCTCTACATGACTTGATACTAAATACCTGGAAATTTTGGCTTGGAATATACTTTGCAGGCCAGCAGCTGGTACATTACAATG